GTTTTTTTTTTTACAACACAGGGGGCAAACGAGCATGCGGCTCACCTGATGGTAAGTGACTACCGCCGCCCATGGTCACCCACAACACCTACGGCATTGCAGGTGCTGCCGGCCTTTTAAAAAGGAATATGCTCTTTTCTTGAAGGTTATGTTGTCGTATCGGTTCGGAAATACTGCTGCTGGATGTTGATTCCAAAGCGCGGTTGTGCGTGGGAGAAAGTGTCTTGAAAAACGCACGGTGGAGGACCGCCACTCGTCCAGATGGTTAGAATAAAATTTTAGTTTATATCGGGTTGTACGATGGTGACAATCAGCAGCAGGTATCAATCCGAACAATTCTTCAGAGCACTCCCCAGGATAAATTCGGTAGAAGATGCATAAAGATGCAACATCTCTACGCAGTTTTAGTGGATCGAGCCGGACAGTAAGACGCCGATCGTCAACAATTCGAGCTGCCCGACTTTGAATGCGGTCTAACGGAAGGAGTTGGTACTGTGGCGCTCCTGCCCACAGGTGAGAACAGTATTCCATGTGTGGCCTCACTTGAGCTTTATACAGTTGTAGGCGGTGTTCCAGCGTGAAATACCGTCTCATCCTATTGAGCACCCCCAAGTTTTTGGAAACTATCTTAGCTTTTTCCTCCAGATGACCGCAAAACCAGTTACCATTCCATTATCATCCATTACAAAAATACTGCCATTTTCTTTGACATTAGTAAATTTTTGATTTGTTAACAATGTATGAGTAAGTAAATCCTGTCTATTCAATGTATTTATTAATTTTCTAATAAAGTGTTGCTTGTTTGAGTACTGTTTATGTATATTGTATAAACTTTAACATCCGTATCCTGTTTCAAGTAAGGCCATTAGTCTATGGTTCCCATAGACAACGTATTTTAGCGTCGCTTTCGTGTAAACACAGAAAATACAAGGACTATTTCACATTGCATACTTAAAAATATGTACTTTTTACTTTCACATGACGAGGGGATTCTCGATACGTCTGTTTCTTTTTGTGGATTGGTACATTATGCGGATTTATTGCCAATTATGGATCAACCTTGATAGGAGGCACACGGATTGTTAGTAATGGAGCCTTACAAGCAAGCAATATAACCCATCAGTGGGGTAGGGGGGAAAGGGATTGTTAGTAATGGAGACTGAGAATCCCATTGCTAGCAATATACCCAACCAGGTTGACCTCCTCGCGGTTTCCCTGGAAACTATCATGGTTAATGCTGATGAATTCATCATGATAGACTAACTGGCCTGTTTTCATTCTCATCTATCACCCTTCACTGGTGCTTCGCCAGCGTATACCGTTAGCGCAGGCGGGGTTACCATACCATTTTCACCCATCAAAAAACCGCATATACTGCCATAAAGAACGGTTCTGAGCCACTGTCCACTGACTTCAAACAATGCATTTAAGGTCGTCACTCCATCTAGTGGGACACCGTCCTCTACTGCGTTTGCTCGTACGGGCTCGCCACTCAAGAACATTTCTACCCTGTCGGTTGTCAGTTCTTCGAGCTATGTGACCAGCCCATTGCCACTTTAGCTTGCTTATCCTTATTTTCAATATCTGATATAAATTGTAATTTGTAAGTAGCTTTACAATTTGTGCTTACAAAGTACGTAGCCTGTTAAATAGTTGGTCAAACATCCATTATCATTTCACGTTCGCATACCCGCGGATTCCTGTTAAGACCGTGCTTGCAAGCTTTGTGCTTGCAGTGCGCAAACAACTCACATACATACTTGTAACTATTTGCCGTGTTCAAGGATAGAAGGGAGCAATGAATCAGTGTTGCCAGGTGCATTGTTTTTTTTTAATAACGTACGAGGTAAACGAGCTGCGGTTTACTTGATGGTAAGTGATTACCGTCACCAATAGGCGACAGCAACATCAGGGGAGCTGTAGGGTTTTTTGTTAATGAATGATAATGGAATGGTAACCTGGCTTGAACTAACGGTATATGTTGGGGGGAAAGGGGTTGTCAGCAATGGAGTTTGACAGCCCCATTGCTAGCAATATGCCCTATCAGGTCGACCTCTACGTGGTTCCCCCTGGAAACCATCGTGAACAATTCTTGTTGAATTCGTCACGATGGGCTAACTGACCTGCTTCATCCTCACCTATCATCTTTCACTGGTGCCCCGCCGGTGTATACCGATAGCGCGGGTGGGGTCACCATTTCATTATCACTCATAAAAAAAAACGGTATATGTTGGCGGGCCATCAGTAAAGAATGATAGGCGAGAATGAATAGGCAGGTCAGTTAGACCATTGTGATTGATACACCTGAAATTCAGCACGATGGTTTCCATGGGAAGCCACGTAGAAATCGATTCGACAGGGTATATTACTAGCAATGGGGATTAACGTCCCCATCACTAACAAGTCCTCTCGCCCCTGGGGTATGAGTAGGATTATGATGATGATGAGGGCTAACTAACCTAGTTTCAATCATCACCTATCATTTCTCACTAGTGCCACGCCAGTATATACCGATAGCACGGGCGGGGTAACCAGTTACCAGAGCGAGACTTTGCACAAAAGTCGATTGCTTGGGTACCTCTGTCCCATTCGTGTTTCAACCGTGAAGCAGTTGTGTTTGCATGGCTGTGTTTCGGTTGGAAGGGTGTGAATTTACAGGGTACAGAGGAATAACACCTGAGTCCTCAGGAATGCCAACGCATGGGGGGTATCATGGGCGAAACAGTATACTCTGTTATGTCCATGGTACTGCCGTCAGCTTGCTTGCCATTCTAAGTTGTATAAAAAAAAACATTCCATTTTTATCCACTAAGACCTTTACCTCATTTATTATTTGGGTTCGGCGTAATATGTTTTTATCCTCCATTCGTCTCTATTCGCACTCATTCTTTGCCTTTTCTTTTTTCTTCTTCTTAGCCCTCACCATTATTAATATCCCACTACTGGGCATTGGTCTCTTGGATAAATGATTTGATTGATTCAAAGCCAAAATGTTATTTCACAAACGAATTAAAACAATTGGATTCAATTTTAAATCACTTTAATAGACGAATATTTTTACTTTTAAATAGATAGGTGTGATGAAGAAATAAAAAAAAAATAATAAAAGAAAAACTAAGACCGAAAAAGAAAAATACACTAGAATTAAATTCAAGTAATAATTTAATAAAACATCATAATGTCCTTACCACGTGCGACCTTTAAAAGCGCGCGAAGGAGGGAATATCATGATATGGAAATAAAATATTCCAATTTATTCTCTATTACGAACGCAGTTAGAGCGATTATAAAAAGCAAACTTGTTTTGGTTATGTTTTAATAATGTCGATCGTGAGAACTTAATTTTTATTAAATTAATTTCGTCTCTATGTTGCTAGAATTAAAGTTGATATTCCATTTGATACAGTCTGAATACCTGTTCCTTTTTGACCGACAGTGACCTCATGAAAAAGCGGACGAAATAGTTTATGGTAAGATCGATTCACAAGCCATTTTAATCTTTATTGTATTTAGTATTAAAGTACATTTCAGTTTATTTACAAATGTGGCCTGTCGTGTGACGTAATACCAGTCATATGGCGGGAAGGTACAACTTGTATGTCGGGATTGTTTGATTACTTTGTAAATATATATGTCTATGTCTAAATAACGTATTTTTTGTTGAACGAATGCTATAATATTTAATTTTTATAGTTTTTCCTATAACTAATAGGTATCTTAAGAGGGGGGGGGGGGGGAAGGGATTGTTAGTAATGGAGACTGAGAAGCCCATTGCTAGCAATATACCCAACTAGGTCGCCCTCCTCGCGGTTCTCCCTGGAAACTATCATGGTTAATTCCTGATGAATTCATCATGATGGGCTAACTGGCCTGTTTTCATTCTCATCTATCACCCTTCACTGGTGCTCCGCCAGCGTATCCCGTTAGCGCAGGCGGGGGTACCGTACCATTTTCACTCATAAAAAAAAAATAGGTATATTATCAATTGAAAAAAAAATTTATTACTTGACTATGTATCTTTTCTAAACGAAATAGGGCGGTTACCATTGCATCGCTCGTTATAGGTAATTGTCACTTTACCACAACCTTTTTTTTTTTATTTATGAGTCTTTGCCCAGAAACCAAACATATTTGACATAATTTGACTATATATGATTGCTTTTCGCTTCAATGCTATGCGTTGCCATTCCTGAGGACTCAGGTGTTGTTCCTCTGTACCCAGTAAATTCACGCCATATCCCACCCTTCAAACCGAAACACAGCCATGCAAACACAACTGCTTCACGGTAGAAACACGAATGGGACAGAGGTACCCAAGCAATCGACTTTTATACAAAGTCTCCCTCTGGTAACTGGTTACCTCGCCCGCGCTATCGGTATATACTGGCGTGGTATATGGTGGAAATCTGCTTGAAGAGATTTTAATGAAATTAAAAAAATAAGGTACATACTACATTTGATTGCTCGGAGTGAAATTAAAGTAAAATTAACATTTAAATATGTTTATATTAATTTGAACTGTAAATGGCGAAATCGGTTAGATATTTACTAGACAAGGTTTTTCCAAGAGACTACAGCACGGGGTCTTCAAAAGGGGGGTAAAGAGGTTTCTTCAGGGTCGGCAACGCGCGCGTAATACCTCTGGTATTGCAGGCGTTCATAGGCTACGGTAACCGCTTAGCATTATATGCTTGTTTGCCACCTCAGTGGTATAAAAAAATCTATTTGTGAAAGAGTACAAATATTTTATTAATTATATCCTTATGTGTATAAGGTACTATTAATTATTGTAAGCTATTTAATAATAATATAAGTACAGTGGTACCTCGACATAGGAGTTTAGTTCGTTCCATAACCTCGCTCGTATGTCAAATTGCTCGCATTTTCTCCAGTTTTCGCAATTTTCCCCATTGAAATAAATTGAAATGCCATTAATCCGTACTCCTGAAAAACCACGTCAGTTGTTTTTGTTAAGTGTTAGCCTGAGGTGGGAGCAACTGTTAGACACCAACATCCACTCCGCATGTTGGGGGGGGGTCGTGTGCAGCGGTGTAGCGTGCGATTCCTCGCATCTCAAACCTTGCTCTCATCTCGAAGCAAAATATCGCTCGCTCGGCGGCTCGTGTCTCAATACACTTGTATATTAGGCCACTCATATATCGAGGTACCACTGTATTTAATTTCCTACAGACGATCTATTGATAATAGAAAATTATTTTTATACAAATCTTCATTTATTTTCCATAAAAGGGAGCAAGATAATATATGGGAGCCTAAAACCGTTACAGATAGACATTGTGACGGTTCGACAAGTGAAAGATTAGTATCAATTTTATAAAAGGACACAAGTACCTGCCTTATACAGCTGTATATTAAAAAAAAAAAATAGGCAAAGTATTAAATTGTACACAGCTATCGTCCGGAACTATTTATTGAGACCTACCTGTTAGTCCAGAGGTCGTTGAAAAAACATCAAGCTTGTGTTCAGCCTCCAGCATTCTCAGAAGGGACCCAAAATAAAGGTATGCGGCGTCGGCAAAGCACCATGGACCTGTTTGGGTATAATGAGGCGAAAAAAAGCATCGAAAAAAGTTCAACTCAGCTGATCGGCCATTTTGATGGCCCCCCGTACCACGATAGGTGCCGGCTGAAATTAACAAGAGATATGTCGCAAGCCTATCGTTTTCTGTCTATTTTACAGCTCTGAAGTCTTACTAAAAGACATTGGAACCTATATAATGGCCTAATAATGTCTAAAAATAAGCACCTATATAATCAAGTCCAATTATTTATGTATATCTAATAAAATAAACAAATGTTGATATCAATTAAATAGTTTGTGGAATCTACACTCTTCAAAAGCAAAGTAGGTCAATCTATTTTAGGCAAAGAACATATACTTAAGTATGGCAATACGACATAAATAACAATATTTATCATAAACTAGTTTCGATACAAAAGCCCCATCTGTTTCATAATAAAGGCGCGCCAGTCTGACGTCTCGCCTCTCAGCTGATTCCCGCCAAAACTCGGACCTTGCACGGACAATAAATACGCCTTTTGTATAGCTTTTGTTGAAATTACTTCTTAAATAACATGTTTTTGGGGGCAACAATAACTTTTTGTCATCTAAACTCCGCTTATAAGAGTTTTGTCATACATTTTCTCACGTGTTTTGAAGTAACAGCTGATTTTGGCGCGCAATCGTACCGGCCATTTTGAATCAAACTGGTTGGTTGCTATGCGATATGAAGTTGTTTGCATTAATGTGTTTGTACAGTATTACTGTGTCACTCGACAAAATCACGATCGGAACAATGTTATAATCATGTATTAGGTATGTATTTTCATAAATAACTCAAAATAAATATTTACAATGCAAATCACACCAATTTTTTTTGATGGGTGAAAATGGTATGGTAACCACTCCTGCGCTAACGGGATACGCTGGCGGAGCACCAGTGAAGGGTGATAGATGAGAATGAAAACAGGCCAGTTAGACCATCATGATGAATTGAATTTAGAACCTCTTTCTTTCTGAAGTCGACTTATAAGATGTGCAATACTATAACCTAGTATATACCTATAAATGAGAAGTAAATATGAAAAAAAATGTGAAAATTCGAATCGTTGTTATTCAATCATCCATAATCGACTGGATAGGTTTGAATGAAATTTGGTATATAGATGGATTATATATATATCGTCATAGTAGTAGAATACTGACGAATCTTTATATGTAATATTTGTTAGATCCGTCAGTATTCTACGACTATGACGATATATATATCCTAGAATACCTTTTCATTTTAATTCAACGCAACTATATGTAGCTACTAATAATAATTTAACACAAAAACTTTATCCTATTATTTATTCATGCCGGTTATTTCAGCAAACAGATATGCCATTGTTTACTAAAAGGGATAGGTAAAGATAAACTAGCAAATTAACTCCATTTTACCATCCCATGGGGTGAGCTTTGTCTAATCCACACTAATTGCGTTCCCCCATTAAATTCGGTCCATCAGGCGGAAAAAGATTATAGACAGATAATAGGCCACCCATAGGTCGATGGTAATAAAAAGTTTATACCTTGTTGGTATTCAACTTGGTTATGGTCATAAAATGGGTTGTACTTGTTAAATTAAAGCGGTCGATGTTTACTAAGAGTGATATTCAAAACACGAATGCACGACTGTATGCTAGGACATTTTGTATTTTTGTGGTGTGTGATTTTATGGCATGAAACTTATCATTGTTATGTTGTCGCAATCTAATCTGGAATGCCCAAATCAGATGTCCAAACAAGTGGTATACGAATGTATGTATAGATAATTAGATATATTTTCGTTGTTTCATTCGTGAGACAAAGTAAGAGAGCGATTTTGGGCTCTTGTTCTTTTCCTTTATTTAGTTTGATAAATTTCTAAATACGTATTTACGCATCTAGTATTATAACTATAAATTCGTTAATAACTACTTTTTACCAGGTCAAAGACTGCACAAAAGTCATTTGCATGGATACCCGGGGTACCCCGCCTGCGCTATCGGTATATGCTGGCGGGGCATCAGTTATAGATGATAGGTGTGGATGAAAGCAGGTGGTCTACCATGAAATGAAATTCCGAAATTTCGGGCTTAATTTCGTGTTTTTGTTCGTATTAAAATCGACCCAGTAAATGGAGCTTAACGTTTCGTTCATCATAAATCCTTTTCTAATAGTCCAAAGGAACGATATTTTAATATTTTTAATAATTGTAAACAGCATGTATTATGTAATTTTAACATCAAATTTCTGTTTCGTTCGTCCCCGAAATTTCGGAAAATACTTCATGGTAGGCCCTCAGGTCAGTTAGCTCATCGTGACGAATTTCACAAGAATTAACCACGATGGTTTCCTGGAGGAACAGCGTGGAGATCAACCTGATAGGCTATATTGCTAGCAATGGGGCTATTAGATCTCATGACTAATAATCCTTTTCCCCTTCCTCCGACTCGGGTTTGTGTTTGCATGGCTGTGTTTCGATTTGAACGGTGGAAAATGCAGTAAAATTATAGCTTATGGAGGCATAGCACGGAGAAAAGACGACGATAAACAAACAAGGACGAATGTTTAGGCTTGAGGTGTATTGCGGATGCCACAGCGCAATTTATGATGCCCCCGGTGCTACTCATGTCTATAGGCGACAGTTACCACTTCCCATCAGGTGGGCCCGTCAGCTTGATTGCTCTTCTGAGTATCGTAAAACTAAACTTTTTATATCGGTCTTGGTGCTTATGTCCTAATTACATTATATTATATATAATCAACATCATTTCAGCCATTATTCGTCCATTGCTGGACATAGGCATCCCCCATAGGCTATCATAAAGAACGATCCTGAGCCACCTGCATCCACTGACCCCTTGCAATGCATTGGTTTTCGGTTTTTCGAGCTCTGTGACCAGCCCATTGCCACTTCAGCTTGCTTATCCTTTGGGCTGTGTCAGTTACTTTGGTTCTTTTGCAATTTATTATTTATTTATACATTTTATTACATTATACATAATATTATATTGTTTCGCTTCCATACATGAGTGTTGGTGTCAGTACTCCTTGAATTATAGCAAGGCGAGCTTTGCTCGATACATTTTTACTTGACATAATCGAGAGCAGTGCACCGTTAACACTGTTTCCCGCTTTTACTCTCCTCTCAATATCTCTGTCACACTTGCCATCCCTCGTAAACAAAGAACCTAAATATAGAAACTCACTCACTTGCTCCACTTTTTCATCTCCTATCATAATCTGGCATGCCGTTAAACTTTCATTCCTCTCAAAAACCATTACCTTCGTCTTCTTCGCATTTATTTTCATACCTTTTCTTGCATACGCTTCATTCATTATAGTCACCATTTGTTGTAATTCATACTCCGACGATGCAAAAAGTACTTGGTCGTCGGCGTATAAAAGAGTCTTAAACAGAGACTCATTCATCCTGAATCCACAATTAGATCCTTTCAAATCGGTCAAGCAACTGTCCATAAATAGGTTGAACAGCCAAGGAGACGCTACACAGCCCTGTCTAACACCGCGTTCAATGCCAAACCAGTCTGTATAGACTCCATTTATTCTGACACAGGCATTTGAATCCTTATATAAAGATTTGAATGCCCGTATCAAATGGCTGCTCACCCCATACATTGCCAGTGTTGACCACAGTTCATTCCTCTCCACTCTATCATAAGCCTTTTCAAGGTCAATGAAGGCGCAGAAAACCTTCTGATGTTGAGCTAAGGTTTTCTCTGTTATGCACCTTAAGGAAAAGACTTGATCCGTACATCCCATACCCTTTCGAAACCCTGCTTGCACATCCCAAATTTTACTTTCCGTCTCATTCATCACTCTTTTAATCAAAATCCTAGCATACAATTTGCCTACAACACTAAGAAGGCTTATTCCGCGGAAATTTTTGCACTCCTGCTGTGACCCGCTGCCTTTATATAGTGGCACAATAACAGCTTTGCTCCAGTCACCTGGAACACAACCGGACCGCCAACATTTATTGAACAGCAGACACAGCAGGTTTACAATGATTTCTCCACCTTCTTTAAGCATTTCGGCAGATATTCTATCAAATCCCGCTGCTTTACCAAATTTCATAATCTTCATTGCATTCATTACTTCATCCATACTTATATCACTTTCACTGTCAACTTCTTCGTCCATTATTTCATTTTCAACATTCTTTCTTTCACTTCCACGTTCAAATAAACTTTCAAAATATCTCTTCCAATGATCTAAGACTTCCTTTTGTTCCGTGATAACATTACCATCCATATCCCTTATCACGCCCATTTTCGGATCTCTCTTTTTACCTCTAGCTGTTCGAACTAAATGCCAGAAAAGCTTTTGATTAGCTCGAAAATTTCTAGAGAATTTCCTTTCATACTCATCCTTACATTCCTCTTTCTTTTTGCTTACTAATTCTTTAACTTTCTTTTTCATTACATCATACTTCTCTTTTGCAATTTTTTCAATGTCACTTACATTACCTTGCATTCTCTTATTAGCTCTGGTAGCTAACAAATCCATCCATGCCTTTTTCTTTAGAGCCACCATTTCTTTCACTTCGCCATCCCACCATACATTCATTCTTATCTTAACATCCTTCCTCTTACTTACACCACAAACTTGAGTAGCTATATCAAAGATTCCGCATTTAAAATCCTTCCAAAATTCTTCTATCTCATAGTTATCTTTCTTCAGTAGCTCTCTAAATCTTTCATTCAATCTTTCTTGATATTGATTTCGAACCTGTTCTTCTGTCAGTCTCTCTACTCTTACTCTTTCTATTTCTGACATACGAACACGTGGACGATGTCGCCATTTATTGAATAAGCCACCTATTCTCGATATCACCAAAAAGTGATCAGTTCCGACATTCGTACCACGATAGACTCTTGTATCCTTCACTTTCGCTCTCAATCGTTCATCCACAATTACAAAATCAATCATACTTCTCTCAGTTTGCCTTTGCCATGTATACATATGAATCAGTTTGTGACTAAACAAAGTATTAGTCACCACCAGATTTCTCTCCAGGCATACTTCTAATAAACTTTCACCATTTTCATTCACTCTTTTATCTCCAAACATTCCTAAATTCCTTTCATATCCATCGCGACGGATTCCCACCCAGCCATTAAAATCACCTATCAAAATAATTCTTTAATTCTCCTTACATTTAGTCATAATCTCCCTTACACTATCCCAGAAATCCTCTCTGACCTTTGGTGGCTTGGACATATCCGGGGCATAAGCGCAAAGGAGAAAAATACGGGTCAAACCAACTTTCAATCGTATCCAGAGGAGTCTAGGACTTACAAATTCAAATTCTTTAACAGATGCATTCATTCTCTCTGACAAAATAACTCCCACTCCTTGGCTGCTTCTTTCAGAGTCATTAACTCCGGACCAGTACCCAGTATATCGGTCATAAGTAGTAATAGAGCAGCCTTTCTTTTTTGTTTCACTTACTCCTAATACATCAATTCTTCTTTCACTCATCATCTCACATACTTCGTCTATTTTACTATCCATACCTCCACAAACATTCATCGTTGCAATTTGGCATTCCTTTGCCCTCTTTTTGCCATTTGGGGAAACAGGGGAGACATGACGTGACCCGTGGCATAACGCATCGCCGTCGATGAGAAATTTGTCCCCCCAGATACGATGGGACTGCCTGAGTTGCACTCAGGGACGGATTCTCCGGCAGTGCCGGTACCCTCCTGGGGTAGTTGCGTTTTAATTTCTCTTATCATTTTGAAAAAGAACTGCTCTTCTTAACATCGGATAGGGAAAGGAAATAGGTTACATTGGGAGAGGAATAGGTTATAAGGAAAGGAGGTGATAAGTGGAAAGGAACTATAGGAAAAATGGGGGATACTACAGCTACGGAGAGGACATAGGTTTTGTAACTGTAGTAGCTATGGAGGCCGGGGTTGCGTACCCGTATGCCCTTACTCCACAATCGGACAGATTAATAGAGAGGACATCCAATGTAGAAGAAGCATGAAAGTAAGATAAATGCTGTACAGATGAGAGCTTTGAGAAGTATGTGTGGTATTACTTTAAAAGATAGAGTAAGAAACAGTGTGATTAGAGAGAAGTGTGGACTGAAAGTCGATGTAGTGACCAAAATCGAAAAAGGAATGTTGCGTTGGTTTGGTCATTTGGAGAGGATGGATGAAAGAAGAATTACGAAAGAGATTTATCGAGCAAGAATGAATGGAGATGTCGGTAGAGGCCGCCCTAGACGGACGTATGTCGACCAAATAGGCGACGTGCTGAAGAAGGGCCAAATTAAAAGTACCCGTAACCGACGAGCGTGTATGACAAGATTGATGAATGTGGAAGAAGCGAAAGAGGTTTGTTTGAATCGAAGCATTTGGCGTTCCATTGTTTCTGCCTACCCTAATGGGAGACAGGCGTGACAGATATGTATGTATTATATTGTTTATATTTAACTTTTCGTTTCTTTTTAACACTCAAAGTATTCGGTAACATGTTACATGAAACCGTCGTTCCTATTTTTTGTTTCATCCCCTGACTTGAGATGCGCAGTTTTTTTTCCTAAACGACCATTTCCAATTCATCTTTTACAACTGACGTTCGAAATACGTCACGGCTGTTACATGGCCATAACTGAATTTACTAAGAAATGTAGAGAAACAAATAGCTCAAAAGATCGATTCGAAATTTATTTTCGCTGGTGAATGACATTTTTATGTCATTTGTAATAAATAAAGATAATAGGTAAGTTAAGTACCTACCATATGATCACTACACTAGTCTTCTGGGGGGAAAGAGATTGTTAGTAATGGGGTCAAATAGCCCTATTACTAGCAACATACCCTTTCAGGTCGACCTCCACGTGGTTCCCCCTGGAAACCATCATGACTAATTCTAGTTTAATTCCTCAGGATGGGCTAACTGACCTACTTTCATCTTCATCTGTCATCCCTCACTGGTGCCCCGCCAGTGTTTACCGATAGCGCAGACGGGGTTACCATACCATTATCACCCATTAAAAAAAAAACCTAGTTTTCTAACTAAGATGCCCTATAATATGAAATGTCTGCCAATACAATGTCTGCCAAGTTTTAAAATAATCTGTGAGAGCTGTATACACCTGTAATTGATGTGTTCATATGGCCTTAAGCTTGGTAGTGAGGAGTGAGATGTTTTCGTTCAAGTAAACTTAGATTTAAGCATTTTTGAATAGTAGTTTTTCACTTGTACTTACTTATAACATTGTATATTGTCTGCTTAATTGTTGTGAGCATATTGTTTGTGTGTCTTTTATAAATAAATAAACAAAAGTTAAGGATTATTATTTGAGCAAGCTGTCATCATAGTAATTTGATTGTTTTATAGCACAAGCTCACATCACTTTGTATAAAAACCATTGGTATAAGTAATATAATAATTTAGGGGGAAAGGGATTGTTAGTAATGGAGACTGAGAATCCAATTGCTAGCAATATCTCCAACCAGGTCGACCTCCTCGTAATTCCCCCTGGAAACTATCATGGTTAATTCCTGATGAATTCATCATGATGGGCTAACTGGCCTGTTTTCATTCTCACCTATCACCCTTCACTGGTGCTCCGCCAGCGTATCCCGTTAGCGCAGGCGGGGTTTACCATACCATTTTCACCCAGCAAAAAAAAAATAGTTCGTTATACTGCGAATATATTACGAGTGATTCCATAATAACCGTCCGCCGATTACACGGTATGCATTTTCAAGACCAAGAGCGAATTACGTAACGTGCGACGAGGACAGCATACTTTTCTGTCTCATTCTTTTACTGTTATCGTAAGTAACTGGGAAATCGAATTATACATTTATTTATTTATATGAATACATTAATTTTATTGGTAGATGAAGGGCGCCTATTTAGATGGTTGAGAAGAAGTCATTTACGTATAAAATATAAATATATTTTGCCCACCTTCTGACACCATTCTTAGACTCTGGACGTCTTTTTCTTAATGGGTGATAATGGGGGGAAAGGGGTTGTTAGCAATGGAGTTTGACAGCCCCGTTGCTAGCAATAAGCCCTATCAGGTCGACCTCCACGTGGTTCCCCCTGGAAACCGTCGTGAACAATTCTTGTTGAATTCGTCACGATGGGCTAACTGGCCTGCTTCATCTTCACCTATCATCCCTCACTGGTGCCCCGCCGGTGTATACCGATAGCGCGGGTGAGGTTACCATTCCATTATCATATCCATAAAAAAAAATGTGTGATAATGGTATGGTATTCATTCCTGAGTCCTCAGGAATGGCAATGCATGGGGGAGTATCATGAGCGAAACAGTATACTCTGTTATGTCCATGGTACTGCTCATGTCTATAGGCGACGGTTACCACTTTCCATCAGGTGGGCCGTCAGCTTGTTTGCCATTCTAAGTTGTATATAAAAAAAAAATGGTAACCCCGCCTGCGCTATCGGTATACACTGGCGGGGTACCAGTGAGGGATGATAGGTGAGGATGAGCAGATCAGTTAGTCCACCGTGATCAATCTAACAATAAATTAATCACCATATTTTCCAGGAGGAACCACGAGGAGGTTGACCTGACAGTATATGGCTAGCAATGGGGCTACTACTCCCCATTACTAACAATTCCTTCTATCCCCGATGAAAGCACGTTAGTTAGCCCATCCAGACGAATTCAGCTAGAATTAAACACGATGGTTTCTAGGGGGAACTACGTGGAGGTATATTGCTAATAATGGGGTTATTTGACCCCTTACTAAGAATCTCTTTCTCTCGACCCTGGAAGATACCTAGGGTTATAACATTTGTGAAGATAAAGCGAATGAGTCCAACTGCTAGAACGGGGGGAAAGGGATTGTTAGTAATGGAAACTAAAAATCCCATTGCTAGCAATATACCCAACCAAGTCGACTTCCTCGCGGTTCTCCCTGGAAACTATCATGGTTAATTCCTGATGAATTCATCATGATGGGCTAACTGGCCTGTTTTCATTCTCACCTATCACCCATCACTGGTGCTCCGCCAGCGTATCCCGTTAGCGCAGGCGGGGTTACCATACCATTTTCACCCATCAAAAAAAAACACTGCTAGATCGGATATATATATATATATATATATATATATATATATATATATATATATATATATATATATTATATTTAGAGTTACTTATTATTAAATTATTGTACAAAGTGCTGTATGTATGTCCGTTTGACCGCACGCCACACCCAAATACTAGCTGAGTTCAAGCCGTGGTTCAAGGATGGCGCCTATTTACATCAAGATATTTTAACTCTAAAGTGTTTACGCTCGCTTACGACGTCCGTTTGTCCTTGGAAAGAGCACGCGTGCATAAGATATTTGTATTTTTTTCATAATAATAGATAAATACATAGATAAAAACGTTATTTCAGCCATTAATGACACATGTAAATTAACAAATGACTTCATACAATAAAATTAATTACTTTTTATAAAACAAAATTAGTAAAATTAAGGGATTAGTAGCCCCTTCGCTAACAATATGCCCTGTCAGGTCGACTTCCTCGTGGTTCCCCCTGGAAACCATCGTGATTGATTTATCGTTGAATTCGTCACGATGTGCTAACTGACCTGCTTCATTCTCTCACTGGTGCCCCGCCAGTGTATACCGATAGCGCGGGTGGGGTTACCATTCCATTATTATCTATTAAAAAAAAAAAGCTAACTACTAACAGTCCACCCGCCCACTGGCATAATTTCTTCTTTAGTATTTTCTCATAGATTAAGAATAGTACTCTATCTACGCACTCTCTACAGACCATAGTCACGAACTTTAGTTTTTTTTTTCACACATTCCTTAAAACCGCTCTTTTTGCCAACATAACCTCACATTATATTGTGATACATTGTGGATTGTAGGAAAATAATCAATTAATATATATCGTTTTTTTTTTTTTTTTTTTATAAATCGAATGCTCACTTCCATTGTGCGACAGGTAGGCTGTGTTATTAAAAAAAAAAGTATTGTGATCATTTCTAAAGGCTTGGTTTGTCGAGTTGCGTGCCTTCGAATGCAATAAAGTGTTTTTTCTATTGGACAAACG